AACTGTAGGATTACAACAAATGAGACACTTGCATCACACACAGAAAGTACTCGATTAAATATCAGCTATTGTACTTTTTACATATACTTAAAAAGAGTCTAATCTCATACCCATTAGGATGGCACTATCAAAAAACTGAAAATAACAGGGCAAGAGCTGTATCGGTAAACTGGGACCCTTGTGCAAATAATGCAGGACTGCAAATAATGCAACTGCTATGGAAGGCAGTATGATATCCTCAAAAAATTAAAATATAAATACCATGGTCCTATAATCCAATTTCTGGGTATCCCAAAATTGAAAGCAGTTTTTTCTTTTTTTTTTTTTTTTTTTAAATTTTTTTTTCAACATTTATTTATTTTGGGACAGAGACAGAGCATCAACGGGAGGGAGCAGGAGGGGTGAGAGGGGAAGACACAGAATCGGAAACAGGCTCCAGACTCGAGCCGTCAGCCAGAAACCAGCCCATTCCCGGCGTGGGGCTCGAACTCGGACCATGAGATCGTGACCTGGCTGAGTTAACCCAACGACTGCGCCACCCAGGCGCCCCTGAAGCAGTTTCAAAGAGATATTTGCACACCATGTTCAAAGCAGCACTATTCACAATAGCCAAGAGATGAAAACACCTAAATGCCCATCAATGGATGAATGGATAAACAAAATATGGTATATACATACAGTAAAAAAATTCAGCCTTAGGTAGAAAGGATATTCTGTCACATGCTATCACATGGAGGAACTCTGAGAACATTAAGCGAAATAAGTTAGACACAAAAAGACAAGTACTATATATATGAGTTATTTACAGTAGTCAAAATCAGAGACAGAACTCCAATGAGTAAAGTTACCATTTGAGGCTGAGGCAGAAGGAAAAGGAGAGTGTTGTAGAGTTCTGGTTTTGAAGAGGAATAAGTTCTGAACTGTTTTGCACCAATGTACTTAACAATACTGAACTATATCGCTTAGTTTAAAAGTGTTTAAGAGGGTGCCTGGGTGGCTCAGTCAGTTAAGCATCTGACTTTAATTTTGGCTCAGGTCATGATCTCATCGGTTCATGGTTTGAGCCTGCATCAAGCTCTGTGCTGACAGCTCAGTCCTGGAGCCTGCTTGATTCTGTGTCTCCTCTGCCCTCCCTGCTCATGCTGTCTCTGTCTCAAAATAAATATACACTAAAAAAATTGTTTAAAAAAAGTGGTTAAGATCGATGCACTTTTTTTCATTTAAAAAAAGGAGTCATACTTTGAAAGTACCTACAAATTCAAATGTTCTTTACCAGTTTATAAGGCCTACTGAAACTCCAGTTAAAAGAACAGCAACAAATAAAGCAGAAGTCAAAAAATCTCATAAATGGACAGTATTATTTATTACATGATCCATCTTCATTTTGACAAATCTCATAACTAAAATAAAACACTGCATTAAAATAAGCTTGCTATTTATTGCAGACAAACTATACAAATCCCATGACTCAACTTAACTCAAGTCTCTAAAGTCAGCCTGATCTTGAGCTCAGGTTCTCTTCCTGTGCTCAAGAAAAGCAGAATTGTTTGATCCCATAAGTAACTTGAGCTCGGGGGGGGG